ATACAAACATATGGGCCTCTACATACACTTGATGGGGTAGTTGCTAACAAGCGGTTGTATGCGGCCTAAACTTATGCTGGTCAGTGCTTGCTCACGCCTTTGGTTTCCCCCGCTAAGTTAAAGAGATGACGCAGATGTTCATGGGGACCTGCTCCGCGGACGGCGGCGTCATCGGGGATGCACTGGGGTCGCCAGCTTTCTTTCCGCTTGCATTCATATTTCGGCTTTCTATTGCCTCTATTCTTCTCTAGAAGTATCAACGCTTCAGAGTTGAGAGCCCCTACAAACCAGCTCTAACTTTCTCTCCACTGTCGCGGCGGCCGAGACGCAGCTGCCCACGGGCGTGAGGCTCCTGCGGCCCCAAGGGGTCTGCACGGCCTGCAACGCTTGCTGCAGCGACTGCTGCTCGGTGACCCCAAATGCAAGGTCACCCCAGCCCCTTTCTGCTACGCATAGTGACACTGAATGCAGTTGTTAGTAGGCCGCTTGCTTGGGCCCCAGTAGCCAAGCTGCTCGCAAGAGCTTGTACCCCTGCTTATGCTATGTGGGAACACACCAAAGCCTTCGTTTCGGTTTTCTGTTTCTTTTATACCAGGCCTTGCGTCTGCGTTTCTCTTTGTGTTCGGCATTCAACTGCGGTAACTGCAGCTGCTTTCTATTGGCTGCTGCTATTTCATGAGTTTGTTTTCGTGTACTAGCCAGTTCAAGTGACCGAGCGGGGATACACATCAACTGCCGCTGAATACTCTCAGCACGAACACACAAATATATCTAGACACATGTTTATTTCTGTTCGTTTTCACCATCAACTACGTATTCAACTGCCCACTAAAGAGAGAGCAGTTGAGACGGCCTGAGACGTTTGGGTTTAGGCTTTAGACTTCAGGATTTTTTTTGCAGTGCATTTTCTTAGTGTTCTTGACTTTCTTTGCCTGATTTTCTATTTCCTTTTATCTCGGCATTGGCATTCAAGTGCTAGCTTTCCCTGCAGTCCTCCTCGCCTGTCACCGTCGCGGTGTTCCCTGCGTCTGGCAAGCAGTTTTCTGTTTATTTTGTCTATATATTTCTCACTAGTGAGCGACGGAGCCTAGCGTCTACAAGTGGCACTTTGTTCTACGTACACCTGAATCGAACCGTTCTCGGTCTGCACTATAAGAACTGCATCTTTTTGCTGTTTGCAAACGTTGTCGTCTTCATTAATATATTTTTGTAGGAATAAAATAATTACTTTATATTCCGCTGATAATCTGAAATGCGTAGCTACAAAGCTAATTCACCTTCTTGTTTTTACGCTTCACTTATTTAAATCAAAGAATGGGACGGAATCAGTTCGTATTCTCGTTGATATAAATTGGTAATAAATGAATTTAATTCACATTTGCTCATTTAAACTGAAAAGAAATGAATTTAATTGATATTATAGATGTGTATACCAACATCTGCAATGTGTGTTGGTTTGCAATGTGTGTTTTTCTCTATTTCATGTTTGTTTTATTGCTGTGCATTTGCTTTTATTGTGTTTTATTTGTTGTTATTGGTTGTATTTGTTTTTACTAATTGTATGCGTGTTCATTGTTTTATGTTTGTTTGTTTTTCGCTGTTTTGTCCCTTGGTGTTTGCGTTTGCCTTCAGTATTGTTGTGTCTTACTGAGCTGCATTTATTCTAATGATTTCATGTTTCGTTTTATATTTTTATTGTTTTTCTGTTATCTCTTTTATTTGTTTTTATCGTTTCGTTTTATATTTTTATAGTTTTTCTGTTATATCTTTTATTTGTTTTTATCGTTTTTTTTCTTTTTCTTAACAAACGAAGAATATTTGAACTTCACCGAATAGCTGCTGCTTTTCGTTCTGAAATTAATTTGCAACGGCCGGCGGCAGGCAAACGAAAGCAACGAGACAGCGAAACCCTATTTCAATCGTTAATAATAATATTATTATTACTAATTTTATTGTTTTTACTATTATTATTACTATTAATACAATTGTTGTGGTTGATGTTATTTTTGTTATAGGGCTTTCATGTTCAACAACAAGAGCACACGCAGCAAGTTTCCGCCGTAGAGAAAGCAAAAACTGAAAGTTTGAAATAAATAAAAAAGTTCGCTCTAATTATGCAGTTCAAGTGAAATAGACAAAGCTGAAATCGCCGTCGTTGCTCGTGCTGTTGTTGCTCCTTATTTTCTGCTGCTGCTGCTGTTTACGTTCTGCTGCTGCTGCTGCTGTTCCTGTCCTGCAGCTGCTGCTTTTGCTGCAGCAAAAGCAGCAGCGCTAGCAGCGCCAGTACCAGCCTAGTGCATACAGAGGCGTGGCTGGGGCTTTCAAGCGACCACAAGGCGATGCGCTGCCAGGAGAGGATGCAGGAGTATCCAGATAAGGTTTATAATTAAACTGAAGTGTATAATTAAATTAAAGTTTATGATTATATAGAAGTTTAGATATTTGCAACATCTGAATTGTTAACCAGGCGTTGATAGGCAGAGCGTTTGGGGGGGAATACCCGCAGGCTTTCGGCGAGAGGAAGAATGCCAGCTGGCCTTTGTGTGTCGATGGAGGTGCTGTTGCTGTTCTCTCTCCTAGCTGAAAGTGAAGCAGCAAACGACTCTGCTATTTTTTCTGATGCTGCTGCTGATGTTGTCGCTGCAGGGCGGCTCTTGCAGCTGCTTGACTCGTCTGCCGCTGTGGACAACGGGCGGTATCTGCGATCGCGTGCCAAGCTAGCATCGAAGAGTGGATTCACCTCGGTTGTATATANGACAACGGGCGGTATCTGCGATCGCGTGCCAAGCTAGCATCGAAGAGTGGATTCACCTCGGTTGTATATACACCTGGGTGAGACCTAGCTGCCACCGCTGCTGTTGCTGCTGATGCAGGTGTTGTCAGAGTTGCCGCTGCTGCTGCTGCTCCGCGCAGCATAGTAACTCCCAAGCTGGTGTTGGGTTCTGGCTTGTAGAGAGGGCTCAGCCGGGTGATTTGTGGTTCGGCGGGTTGGCTGTTGTCTGCTTGTGTTAGTGTTTGTAGATGTTGTTTGTATTCCTGTCCTTGAATGTCATAGTACAGAATAGGGATGACCCTTTGGCGGCTCTGAAACGCCTCCCCGTATGTCGTAGGAGGGACGGGCTTGCCAGTAGACCCTGTTGCTGCAGTTGCTGCTGCTGCTGCCGGTGTTGCTTCTGCTTCTGCTGCTGCTGCCTTGTCTTCACTGAGGTACTTGGGGCCCGGGACGCCTGGGGGAGGATGATTAGAGAACCCCCAAAGGGGGCTAAGCACAGTCGACGGTGTACAGAACGTTGACTTGGGCTCTGAGGGCCGCGAGGCCAAGAGGCTGCTGCCGGGGCCATGGAAGTGGTGATAACTCGTCTCAAAGAAATTCATTTTGTTCAGTCAGACACAACACAGAAAGAAGAATTAAATATATTTTGCAAAGGAATAGTTAATGAGGGACTTTATTAACCACACGAGACGCAAATCGGCTGCATGTGGCAGCAGGGCCTCTCGAGGCCCAGCCCGACAGAGCAGTGACCTCAGCAGCCGCAGCACAGGCAAGAGCAGCAGCAGCATCACTGGGTGTTTTCTTGTTTTACGTTATTTCAAATTTATTTTCCCAGTTGCTAATCATTGTTTTCTGTATTTATTAATTATTTAAAATGCAATAAATAACAATACGGCGCAGGGTCTGCAGTCCCTTGGGGCGCGGCCGAAGGCCCAGCGTGTAGCAGCGAAGAGGTCACCGCAGCGTGATGCCGCGTTTCTNCCCTTGGGGCGCGGCCGAAGGCCCAGCGTGTAGCAGCGAAGAGGTCACCGCAGCGTGATGCCGCGTTTCTCGCCTTCACTCTGATATTTTAATTGAAATATTCACACACATCAAAGCTAGGTTAATGTAAAGGGCATGAACTGCATTTTATCACAGAATTTCAAGGAATTTGCGGCCGAAACGGGCGCCTAGGTGTGTCGTGCGGCTGCTCACTGTAGACTCCCGTGGCTCTGCCTCCCTTTCCCGCTCTCTCCCTTCGAAGCAGAATACAAAGTACCCTTGAACATATAAGTGCAATATATTCCAAAAACTTCAGTCGATTCAGACGCACTAACAAACTTGAGGAGTACTGAGCCGAGACAGCAACTATGTTCCAGTACACCCTCTTTACATTTCTTTATATCTTTGTGTACTATCTGTATAGCATACATTTTTGAGTGCGAAGAGCTTCCTTTTTTTCTTGCGCTGCCGGAGCTGCGTTTATTTACGGCTTCTAAATTATTCTTTTCTACGGTTTATACGGCTTTCTGTGCTGTCCTTTGAACGGGTTGGGGACGCCCCCACGGGGCGCAGGCCCAGCTCGTTGCTTTGTTGTGTTGCTGTCGGCTTTGCTGCTGTCACTGGCGGTGCAGCCTTCTACTTCTGCGTTCACTTTAGCGTGCAAAAAGATAAGCATAATGAAACGAATTAAAAGTGTGTTTCGTTCGTTCTTCCGGTGCTCGATATCCGAGGTGTCAGTACACCTGAGCAACAGAGACTCTCTGTCTGTTTCCCCACGGTGCTCGATGAGCCCCAGTAATGCAAAAAGACAAAACGCAATATATTGCAGCAAATGAAAGATACCAGACCAGAGACAAGGCCGTTCAAACACCCCGGCTGTCTGTACACCTGGGGCTGCCTGCCTCGTGGTTTAATATAGTATTTATTTGCATTAAGCAAAACAATAGATTGTGAAGAACGAACGCAAGTGCCCCTCCCCCTGATGGGCATGATCAGAAAGCAACAGAAAGACGAAGCACCCCGAAATAATCTGAAATGCACACTATTTCCACTATAAATAAGTATTACAATAAAAAGCCACCATTGTGATTAAATAAAAATAAATAAACCCAAATTAAATCTTAGCACAAAAGTCAGGATCTATTGTATTGCCTGAAAGACCCGGGTCGCTGTCGTTCGTCATCAGCTGTGCAATATTTTTTATTGGGTTTCCTTTGAGTTCGCCCGAGTTGAACTTTTTGGGCACAAATTTCAGTTTCAGTGCTTTCAGGTGTTGCAACAGACAATACAGCAACAAACATAAAACAGCAGAAACCAGTAAACCCCCAAAAGGAGAAAATAAACAAAAAGAAGCAAACACCGTACCCAACAAATAACAAAGAGTACCCATACGGAAACATACAACAGCGCGATTATACGCCTTCTCCATCACCCTGATCACCTGAAATAAACAAACAAAAACAACGAAAAACATAAAGACGATATAATCTCTGGCGGGTTGTTTCAGTCGTTTCTCTCTCTGCGTGCTCTTTGTGGTTGTTCAGTTGTCTCTGTGTTTTTCCTCTGTCTCCTGTTCTACCATTGCAGGATTTTGGTATCTATTTCATTTCCTCTTCCTTGTTTGCAGATGTAAGCTAACTGAAACTCGGTGTCTGTGTGTCTGTCTCTCTGTCCGTCTGTTTATGTGTACGCCAGCTTGCTGCTTTCTCCGTCGAACGTACCACTTTGTATGAGTGTTCTCCCTGTCCAGTGAGGGCCTTTCCGGGTCCCCAGATGATGCATGTGGTGCAGATTGCTACAACGATGAAGTTGAGGGCAAAGGCTCCTACAGCGGCGAGAGAGAAGATGAGCTGAAATAACACGGGGCCCTCCACTATGCCCCTCTGCAGCTGCATAACTGTAGACGCAAAACCCCCCANAGCTGAAATAACACGGGGCCCTCCACTATGCCCCTCTGCAGCTGCATAACTGTAGACGCAAAACCCCCCAGAAACGAAGCCAGCGTCGCGAACTTCTTCAGCACATCCATCCAATACTGCAGCTCCATCTGCCTCAGGTTTATATTCTGCCGGGTGAACCCGGCGATCACGTGTGCCTTGTTTGCCTGCAGCATCTTTCAGGTTTATTTTTCAAAGAACCAGTGGTTCAATACAAGTTATATACGATTCAATAAATAAATAAAATATTAAAACGATATAAAACACAACCAAAGGCAGCCAACGAAGGCAGCAGCGAAGCACAGGCGGTCGGGCGGACGGACATCACCGTAGTTTGTGTGACGCAGATCACTGCAACTCTCATGCAAAAACACACAAGTCAAATTGTATTCTCGAAATTATTAAAATTAAAAAAACAAATAATATTTCATAAAATTAAAAACAAAATACAAAAAAAGTTTCAACGCGGGGACCCGCCGTATCGGCCCAGCCTGGTGGTGGTCTACGCGAGCCGCTGAGGTCTATATATGCATACACTGCAGCGC